CTGTTGTATGTTGTACTGTGTTGTAAAGCGCTCAGAGCCTGTGTACTTTATTCGAGGTTGAGCGCTATATAAATGTCATTTATTATTAAATCCATAATATTTATCATGTTAAGCGCATAGAGCATTGCATAAGTGGATATGCGCTATATAAATGCAATCCATTATTATTATTATTATCGGATTAACGAGTAAATTCCCTCTTTGGAAAGTGGTAGCACAGAGTTTCCCACGTCGTACGGATACGATGGTAAAACACAATGTACGGATAGGGTTAAAAGACGGGACCTATCGTGGCCTTCGTGAAAACGTAGGCCACGGACCTATGCATGTAGGTTCATCTCACCAGGACCACTTCTTTTCTTTTTGGTAAGTGTTTTACAGCGCTATAAGGTCATATGAGCACGAGGGACACCAAACATTTTCAGTTGGTAGGAAGTTTTGAATATTGCCTAGGTGGCAGCCGAAGCCTACTCTTATCGACCACCAAGGGATCTTAAACAGGTGCAACTTGCACGAGGACCTCCGAGATTTTCCACTCTTGTCAGAAAAGGTTAGGTGTAGATCTTACCTACCAGAAGATCAGGGGTGTGGCTGAAAGACAGCAGTGAGAAGGAGCCACGGAGTAGCAGAAAGAGTCAGAAGCCCAGAGGAGGGGCAAAAGAGGTGGGTGGGTGGGGGCAGAAAGTGGAGACGAAAGCAGATGGCAGAATAAAGTTAGAAAGCAGGAAAGGACGTGAAAGGTGAAAATTTTAGAGGAGAACAATTTCCGTCGCAATCCAAATTCAAACCTGAGACGTTTGAATGACAGGCGAATACCTTAACCTCTAGGCCACAAGAGCCCCCAGAATTACTTCAAACAATGAAGCAAAATAGAATTTCTGACTTGTCTCGTTACTTAATGTTCAATTTTGGGATCAGTGATTGATGCATCCTGCACTGCAATTATCTATCTCTGACACTAAGCAGTTTTGACAAAAAAACCTCAATTTTTGACGTATGATGGAGTGCTGGAGCTATTTCTTCAGTTCTATTAAGGCCAGGGAATGATTGAAAAAAATGCTGTCACAAATGTGGTGGTCGTTACAGAGGTTAAAAAATGAAAAAAACAAAATATGTTGTTATCAATATAAGAGAAATATGGGTAGCCTAAAGGAGGTCAAATGCATATGAGACAAGAAATATTGTTCCCCAAAGGAAATCAGTGTATGGATGTCTAGTATGCACATAGCGAAATAGGGAGTGTCCGGAAATTTTTTTGTTATGAGCGAATTTCATTATGTACACGTTTTAAATACAAAGAATATAAATGTATAAGAAAAAAAAATTCAGGACCAAAAAAAAATCTGTTCACTATGTAGGTGTTCCCTGTGTGAGTAGCCCGCACTAGACTGTTGAGAAAAAAAAAAAGCTTTCTCCTCAAAGGGGGCTGTGGATTTTTATGAGACGTTGCCATGGTAACTGTTTACTGTATACATCTATCCACTCACCCACTCTCGCGCCAGGTTGAGCAGAGACTTGCGAGTGACCCCAGGTAAGATGAGGCCAGACTCCAGGGGTGGGGTGACCAACTCTTCCTCTGGAACACAACAAAACAAAACAAAACAAACTGGTTTATTAGAATCTAAAAGATTTTACACGAGTCTGAAGCGGTGGCTCTGGGGTGTCATAAGTATGTTTATAAAATCAAACACTCACATAGGCCTACACATTTCTATATATAATGCTATGTATGTATTTAATATATCATGTGTGTATAAACGCACACATACACACACACACACGCACACGCACACACACACACACGTGCGCACACAAACACACACACAAATCCATAACAACCTAAACATCCAGACCACTGGTAATGACTTCGTGGTTAATGACACAGACATACTTCAGCTCCAACGTGACACATCATGATAGATTATTCAACCCTTAAAACTTGCTCTAATTCCTAATTACGATTAAAAATCCCAAGCTTGCATTTCTCTTCACAAGTTCATATTTAAAAAAAACCAAGAAGCCATAAAATAATTTAGCATGTGGTTGCTCCTAAACCTTAAGATCTAACAAAGTGCGAACTTTATCCTGAGCCTCATTTACATCCTGTTTCGGTTGATCGCCAACGCGTAAACACCATCTACAGGGATATCATTTCTCAGGTGAGCACTTATAAAATATGAGAACACGATTAGGAAAAAAGGCAACGCATAGCTGATCAAAAGGACCCCCATCCCCCACCCCCATAAACTACAACTGTCAAATAATTTAATGAAGTCTGAAGAGATTATCTGAGAAATTTTGTTGACCCAAGAGTTAGAGGTCAAAAGTTTAAAAGTTTTAAAGTGCATTTTGGTGAGTCAGTTATTTTTGGGGCAACAATTTAAATCAAGAAGCTTAGTACGAGAGAGAGAGAACGGGGGG